TAAAAATTTAATTTTAGCATATAAATTTATCCCTTGATATAAGAGAAAGTAACAGTTTTACTTATTGTTGTTCACCATATAATATTTAATTATTATTTTATTATATAATAAAAAAGGAATATTGTTAAATAGTGTAGTAGAATTGTTATAAAATTATATGATTTTTTTTTACAATATGAATTTAATATTTTTTATGATTTGATAATATAAACAAATCTATACTTAACTTTGACAAATAAAACAAATAAATACTTTAGTAAGTATTTAATGTATATACTAAATAGAAATATATTTGGTATAATCAAATACCAAATATAATCATATAAGTCAAAGTGTACATTTTTATTTGGTATTTGATTTTTTTATTATTAAAATCTTTTTATTATACTTACCTTTTTAAAATAAAACAAATAAAATAAATCAATTAAATAAATAAAATATTATAATACCAAAATAGTAATGACATGTAATGCAGTTGACTTTTCTGGATAGTAAATGTAGTAAATAGAATATCCTTTTATATAGTATAATACGGAAATAGTAATACAATAAATGCTGTTGACTTTTCTGGCTACTTAATTTAGTAAATAGTACCCCATTTAATATAAGTATATATTTACTAGTGCAAATAAACTTGCAATCTTTATTACTTTCCTTTTTTTTCTTTTATTCTTAATTAAAATTTATAGAAATATTACTTGTGAATTGTTTCATTTTGAATAAATATGAAAATGAATAAAGTTCTGGGATGGAATATAACTTACGTAAGGTAACCTTAGGCTCACCATTTAATAATGTGTTTCACCTCTTTTGATTGCATTCATTTCCCCAAATATATAAATCTAACATGGTATTAGAGTTGACTTGATCTAAATGACTCTCTACTAACTAAGTATAATTTGGAATATTACTTTTGAGTTGTCTCACAATGAATAAATAGAGAAAATGGTTATAGTATATAAATCCTGGATGTCCATTTCATCGCCAATTAATTGTAGAATAGACCTCACTTATGGTATATAAAAGACTTTATGTAACATATATTTGTAGCATTTTATATAATATTTATGTAACACTTTTGTAGCATTATAAAAATATGTAGCACCCTATGCAACATTTTTGAAAATGTAATACTTTATATGAAAACACTTTTATTTATATAATTTCTTTTGTACCACAAAATAATAAAACCACCATATATAACACTTATTATATACCAATAAGTATCAATATAAGTATACCAGCATAATTAGATACCAAAGCGTAGCGGATGGGATTTCCAGGCCTGCACCCGCAAGTCGAATTGGGATATCCATATCTATTTAAGAAGTCATATTTTCTTAATAATGACTTGGGTTCAATTTTCACATGGAGTCCGATAATTCAATAATTTAGTTTGGAGGGAAGTGTAGGTGTGAAATCCCTTACATAGCCTCAAAATCACCAAATTATTCTTACTTAAATATCTTGTTTTGACTGTATTTTGCTCAATGTTTAGTTAAATAAACTCCAAATTTTCTACTTTTGATTGGGGTTGGTATCGGTTCGGTTACCGAATCGATAAAGCCAAAACGATACTGAACTGATTATTTCGGTAACTATAAATATGAAACCGTTACCGAACCGATTGTAATTGATAACCGAAATAATAATGCAATCGTTTTGGTGACGGTTTTTTACCGAAATTTACCAATAATAATGCAACTTGAATTATTATTAATGGGTGAGGCTCATTTTTATTTTTTTTATTTTCTTGTTCTTTTTTGTTAATGGATGAGAGTTTGAGAGGGTTGACGGGTTGGATAATTGGATTATTAGTACTAAGTTGTTACTTATTAGTTATTAATATTAAGTTATTAATTTTTAGTATTAAATTATTAATTATTAACATTAAGTATTTTTTTAATTCCTTAACGATGTTGTTCGTTCGGTAAAATCATACCTTTATAGTTTATAATTTCGGAATTGATACCGAATGGATAATCGGTTGCCGTTTTAAATTAGTCGGTACGATCGATTTTTTTTCTCGTCGGTTCGTTTCGATTTCGGATTTCGGTCAAAAAATGTCAGCCCTACTTTTGATCTAATAACTCTTCCCTCACCCCCTTCTGCTCAGGCTTTTTCATTTTCAACACACACATTAATTGTCCAAATAATCCCATTCTTCTTTTCTTTCCAGAAAAGCAATCGCTGGACAAGTTAGGGATAACTCGGGATAAGGAAATAAAAAGAAAGAAAGAATGGCAGCTGGAAAAACTAGAGTACGTATTCAGTATTGTGATCAGGTTTTTCTTGATTTTGTAAAAAATGTACGTATATTGGTATTTGTATAGGTCTGTGTGTGTGAGGAAAAAGATGGGCCAATAGTGTGTGAGAGTTTTTCTGAAATATTTGTGTGGTGGTCTGAAGGCACTGTGGTAATGAGGTCAGGTCTGAAACCCTGGCATGGCCTCCCATGCTCTTTTTATTTTCTCTATTTTATTGTTTTATATTTTTATTTTTGTTCTGCCTAGTCAACTTTGTAAATGAACTAGAAATAGTAGTACCTGATGTAAATTAAATCTATTATATTTACATAAAAATAATTTATATGATTTTTTTCAGGAATTTTAGAAAAATATATATTTTTCAACTAAAAGGACAGGTATTCGTTCTTTATGCATTGTATAAACTAGTACAACAACTGTAATTACAAGGACGGTGGTTAAAAAATTTACACTGAAATCTTAAACTAAAATGCAAGAAAGAAGGTTTTTTTATTTAAATTTTAAATATTTTTGCAAAAATTACGTTACTTTTTATATTTTAAAAATTAAAATGATATTTTTCACTTATACGGTTTGATCCAGTGTTTTAAATACAGTACCGGTGGCCATACAGGACCGGTAATATCACCGATATTACGGTGATATTACCGGATTGGCAAATATAATGATATATATTTATATATAAAAATGTATTATACCAAATGCAAAAAAGTAAAAAAAATAAATGACCATAATCATTAATTTTAACTTACCAATGAGATAAAAATAAAATATTCTAACTACCAATTTAAATTTTATGCTTTTAATTTTTTTTTTTTAATTTTTTTTTCTTTAATGACCGGTATTTTGGACCGATTTTTTCCGGTATTTACGGTATGACCCCAGTACAAACCGATATAACCGTAAATTCGGTATTCTGTGTACAATTGTACCGTACCAATGACCAATATCCGGTATTACCGGCCGGTACGGTACGGTATTGAAAACACTGATTTGACCAACTTATGTTAATAATTTTTCTAATTCATATGTGATAGAATTTATATAGAACTTTTTGAATTGATGATATATAGTTTTATTAAGTTTTCATTAGTATTAGTAGATATTTTAATTTGATATATTATATATAACAATCTGACAACAATTACAAAAGTTATCAACTTTTAAATGTATTTAGGATTGAATAAGTTAGTCAAGTGTTTTATAATTTTATAACCCTAATAGGAATGGACATAAGTCCTGCTATTCTAATTCAAATACATAAAATTAGGAAACGCGGAAATTCAAAACATAAATTACAAAGCACCATAAATCAATACGTATGACATTCTACATTGATATATAGGTAGGGATGTCTAATTTAATATATATATATAATACGCATAATAATAGATTTTTTTTTTCCCAAAACGATAGAGGTACTATATTAATAAAAACCGCACAAAGTGCGAAGAGAAAGCAGTCAAAAGCTGAATAGTACAACCGAAGACTAGAAAACTGGGAGGCAGATCTAGAGATCGCCTAGAGCCGACCCCAACAGGGTAATACTCGGGAAACACACAAAAAACACAACTACATTAAACCAACTACACAAACAAAACTAAACAAGACCCCAACAGAGTAATACCCGAATGTCATATCCCAACAGAATAATAAATTTGACATTCGGGCGCACA